TGTAATAATTCAACTGTAAACCTAAAAATTTACAGCCAATTTTGAAAGAGATGCATCTTAGCTCTGGAAATTATTGTTGAATATGTCAATGCTGTTGTAATGAAGTGCTTCTTCTAATTATATGGTTATTAAATAATTTTAGAAAAAAGTGTCTTGATTTATGACTTTCTTTTGTTCTGTTACTATAAAAATATAAGGCAACTGTTACCATGCTGGAACATGGAATTTGGGGTAACCCGAATCTGTGTTCCTGGGTCATGGTCACTAATATTTGGCTCCAAAATAAACTAGCTCTTATCCCCTTTGAAGTGAGAGTTATGTTTCTGTGTCGACAGGGGTGATTGCACCTGTACATATCCAGAGTTAGGGCATGAGGCAAGACCCAGAGTTAGGGGGCAGACCCTGAGAGACATAGTCCAGAGAAGGAAGCAGTGGACCACCCACACACTATGAGATCCGTGTACATCCCCATGTAATTCCAGTCTCAGATGCATCACAGAGAACTCACAAGGGGATGTATGTACTGGCACCAGGAACAGCAATACAGTGGCCATAAACCCGATCAGGAAAGGCAGCAAAAACAGGGCAGATGTGGATTTTTATTTAGGAAACAAGAACAGTCCTCTTCTTTAAAAAAAAAAAAAAAAGATTATTTTTATTATTTACATATTACATATTTTACATATTTTATGTGTATGAGTGTATTACTTGCATGTGTTCTATAAGTGCACCTGTGTTACACAATGCCTATGGAGGTCAGGAGAGGATGTCAGATTCCCTGGAACTGGAGTTCTGGACAGTTGTTAGCTGCATGTGGGGCTGGGACTCAAACCCAGGTCCTCTGCAAGAGCAGCCAGTGCTCTTAACCACTGAGCCAGCTCTCGAGCCTCAACGGTCCTTGTCTTAATATTCTGCCCTAACTGCAGCCTCACCACACTCGTGAAAAATATGACAAGCTACGCTCAGCACTAATGTCCAAGCTGCAACAAGCTTCCCAAAGAAAAAGTCTCTATTCAATGTTTTACAAATTTCAGGAAAAATTAAAATCTAATTACTGTTCTTTTACATAAATATCTTCAACAAATGCTGAGCCCTCCAATAAAATCAAGAAAAGCAGCAAGGTTTGGAGAAACATTCTGAAGTTCAGGACAAATCCATAAGCAGGGCAGTCCCAGAGCACTGGATAGATCTGCTGTTGGCACCAGGCTCAGTAAAATCCATCACCTCCTAACAAGGATCCAGAGATGCAGGAAGAAGCCTTCTAACTATTCTAAAAGCCTCCAACACGTTCCCGAAGTCAAGGGTGGTGCAAGGCCAGCAAACCCCTCTTGAGGCATGGGGCCTGCCAGAACACCTTGGTTCTCCTTCAGTGGGAACCGATCACCCAGACCCTGACAGGTCCTGACACAAGTGCAACTGTCCATGGTGGGAATTTGCAGAGTGCCAAGAAAACTGGAGCTCTCTGTTCCTGAAGTTTTACTTGTTTTCTAAATGAGACTTTCCAGTCATGAAAAGGAATCTGAAGTAATCTTACAACAGAAAAATATTTGGAAAA